TTGGCCTCTTATTGGTCAATTCTACATCCGCTTTACAATATGCATATTTCCTGTTTGGTACCTTACCGGCTTGTTTTGTTTGTATGAATTTCATTGGGAAAACGACTCCTAAGGATGGGCCAGCTAGAAGAGCGAGTCTGTGAAGAAGTGAGGAAGTACGCACATCTGTACTCTCTGCCAGCCATATTTCTTCTATTCCTAGATTAATCAGCTGCGTCTGTCAAAGTGCGCATTGGTCCAGTCGCCATTGTTATTGAATGACCTCTGAGAGAAACAACAAAACCACAATCTTAGCTACTACATGATTGTCCCTCTTGGGTTGTGGCGTGGAATAACATAGCACAGACCACGCTTCAATATTGGGCATCATATCTGCGTCATACCTGCGACAACCTCACTGCGACACACTGCTGCGGGAGGATAACCAGCCCTTAAGGAAGCAATATATTTTCAGAGTTAGAACACTCAGGTTTATATCAGGTTTACAACATAATTCATCCCTTGTTAACAGAAACTGGCTAGTTAAGGTAGTTTGGTTAAGAGCTGCAAATAACATTCCTCTCATCCACATGAACCTTATATCTTCAGAATTTGTTTGAAAGCACATCTCACTGAAGTATTTCTACGAGATTGCCATTTTCTTATAATTTCCTTTTCTACTTTCTCTTTTGCTCTTTGCAGGACAGCGACATTCAGAAGAAGATCGACCATGAGATCCGGATGCGTGATGGAGCCTGCAAGCTGCTGGCTGCTTGCTCGCAGCGAGATCAGGCCTTGGAGGCGGCTAAGAGTCTGCAGACATGCAGCACTCGGATCATGGCCTACATGTCGGAGCTGCAGAGGATGAAGGAAGCTCAGGTCATGCAGAACGTCCCACGCAGAGCTTCAGATGCAGGCCCAATGGACGAAAGACTCCCCTGTAAAGGAAAAGTGGCAATATCAGGCATGTAAATGAAATGATAAATAATATTCACTTCCAGTTTTAGATTCAACGGTAAAATAATAGGAGCAACACTTAACAGTCACTGTTTGGTTCCACCTACACAAAGGTCAAGAAGGTAGCACCGTTGCATGAACTGTGAAAGTAGAAGGATCTGTGGTTTCTGTGGGTTGAGCTCTGCTGCATGTCTGTTATGCAGCTGGAGACAAAACTGCAAATCTAATTTTGTGTCTATAGCTTTGCCAGTGACTGAAAGCTGCACAGACACTGTAACAGCTGGACAAGGGAGGTGATTAAAATGTTTTGTGCTCTAATCCATTGTCTGCTTTCATTCCAGATCTTCGCATCCCTCTTATGTGGAAAGACACGGAGTACTTTAAGAACAAAGGAGGTGAGGAACCTCAGTCTGCATGTGTGAAGGAATTTGTTTTTTTGGTGGCTCATCAAAGCCTTATACCCATAGGATTTATTGAGGATAAATATTTGGTAGAACTTATCTGTAGGTAGATTCTTTGTACAATTTGTTATAAGTTAAGAACAATAAATAAAAATTTTTTTTCTGTTTGGATTTTTACCAAAGACTACAGACAAACCATGAAGACTGGAATTTCTTTTCTTTTTTTTTTTGTCTATGTTAGTTCCTGGAGCTGATCTTTACAATCTGTTGCAGCTTTAGCAAAGACCTCTGTGAGCCAACAGCTCAGACCTGCTGGCTTTGACTTTTGGCTCCGTGAAGCATAAACGTGCACCAACTGCACACGGTCTCTATTAGCAGAGCAGACAACACAGAAACAGAAAACAAGCAGAATCTGCTGCGGTTTTCAGGAGCTGATCCTGAATGTTGTCCCCTCATCATCCAGGTCATCATCAGAAACATTTAACTTTCATTTAGAGTTCAGTGGTGCACAGCAAATCTAATGAATGTAATAGTTAAATTGCCTATTTTCTGTCTCACAAAATGGATAAAGCTAATTTGGGTTAACTCCTGTGCGGTCATTATAATATTTTTAGTGCTCAGTTGGTCCCATGACAGCTTAAAATGAATTAATGTGAATGACCTGTGCATGCAAATGAACTTGAGCAAAGGAATGTGTTCTCAGCATATGACAGTTTTGTAATTGCTCTTGAAGGATATATCTCAGCGGTGTAGCATTCAGTCCCCTTCAAGCTGATCCTCCCAAACTAAAACCATCTGCCTTCAGGGGTCACCTTGTCAGTAAAGAGAGACTTTGTAGGTGATTTAATCTCGATATGAATACAGCTGTTATGTGAAGGTCTTTAAGGTTTGTTAGAGAAGAGTGATAAACAGTTTCATGAGGATAAAGAAACACAGCAGAGAGACCAGAGAAAAGGTTTAAAGCAGAGTAAAGCTTTCAACCTTGTTTAGTTAAGCAGAGTTCAATCAATCGCCCTAAAACTGTTAGACTATATTGCACTACACTAATCTAAACATATTGTAACATAGCTATCTACCTAAACAACAGGCCAGGAAATAAGAGAAAAGACTGAAAGAGAGCATCAATTAGAGCACCCCTTTACCCTCCTGTTCACAAAACGTATAAAACACCAAACCCAGTATTATAAGGTTCTGGTTCAGTTTACAACGCCCAGTAATCTCTCCGTGTTTGCTTTTAGATCAGGCAGCTGAGGTGGCAGATCCAAAGGAGCATGGCCTTCAACTTGTAGCATTAACCTCTAAACATGCAGCCCCCATTACTTTTTATTTTTAACACATACGCATATATAAATATATATGAAAATATTCTGCCATCTTTTGAGACATTTCAGGCTGCAAACATAAATATATACAATTTTACAGTCATGAAGTGGAACTAAATTTATTGGATATTGGATAAAATTGGTTGTGCAAAAATATTTAGCCCCATAGAATTAATACTTTGTAGTGCCACTTTTTGCTGCGATTACTGCTCAAGTCTCTCGATTTTTGTCTCTATCGGTTTTTAACATCAAGAGACTGAAATTTTTGCCAATTCTTCCTTGCAAAACAGCTGCAGCGCCGTGAGGTTGGATTGAGAGCACTTGTGAACAGCAGTTTTCAAATATAAAACATGGTAGCTTTAACAGGGAGCTGCAGAAGCCTTTAATATATTCTAAAATAAAAAAAATCATTTAATTTTACAGCTACAGAGATCCATAAATCGGGGAGAGAGAAGGCTATGAGTTCTGCAGTCCATAAATGTGATCTTTATGATGTAGCAGCAAGATCAGAGCAAATTTTTGGGGTAAAAATGTGTAAGAAGTACAGTTTGTCACAAGCTAAGGAATGTTGAAAATATGTGGAAAGAAAAGAAAGTTACTTTGTTCACACTCGATCTGACCATTTTGATTCAAATACAGGTAAGTAGGCAGTCAAATAACACACAGAATCACTCAAATAGAGTACAATTCTGGGAGAAAACCTTTTTGGAGCTAAAAATGACCTCAGTTTGAGATGGAGGTCCAAAACTGTTTTTATAGAGAAGAATGGGGCGAAATAGGCTCTAAACTTGGGAAACTGGTGGAGGTGCCTCAAAAAACCTTCAGCTGTAATTACAGAGAGAGGTGGCTTTATAGAGTGTTGATTCTGGGATAAAAATAGAAATAAAGGAAAGCTCACTTTTCAGATTTTATTTTCTAAAACCATCTAAAAGTCATGACTGTTTTACTTCCACTTAAGTTACATGGTCATTACGCACCAATGCGTGTCAGTCCATTACATAGAATTAACATTAAATAGAATAAAATGTGTGGTTATAAAGTAACAAAATACAAAAAAGGTTAATGGGGTGTGTTGCAGGTGTGGTTGTTACCCACAGGGGGACAATAACTGTTCTACTTAAGGTTTAATAACATGGTGGTTAGTGGTCCTGTTTAACTGTTAGCAGGGCTGATTACTGACCTGAGACCAACAACAGCGGAGGAGTTTGTTAGACCTCTTGTAACATCAGGTTCTCTTTCACGCTTCACCTGTTCAGGTTAAGTAGCCTATTTACAGCAAACATGCGGCTTCAACACCTTCCTGCAACACTTCTCTTACAGGATGCTTAAGATGAAGTGAATTTAAAGCGGTGCATGCAGTGAAAGAAAAGTTTTGTATGTGTAATAAAGTTTTCTTACTTTTTCTCCTTTCCTGTCCCGTCGCATAGAGCTTCATCGATGTGCTGTGTTCTGCCTGCTGCAGCTGGGAGGGGAGATCTTTGACACAGACATGGTGATTGTAGATCGGACCCTCACGGATATCTGCTTCGACAACACCATTGTCTTGTAAGTCCGTTTTATGTTCACGCCTCTCTATCAGGATCTTGTTTGGGGGCTGAAATGCTGGGATGCTTATTGGCATGTACAAATATAATGTCCTATTTAGTACTTTCACAGAAACACAAAAGACAAAACAGAATGACTGAATATTAAAGCGTCTCTAATTTCTTTGCTTTAAAAAGAAAATTTATATGTAGGGTTATGAAAGTGTGGTTCAGTGGCATTCCTCTAATTTGGGTTTCTTTCTACAAATTTATAAAGCTGTGTACAATTTAATCATTTATTTGTTATATATTTTAAAAATCTGAATTTTCTGTTTACTTATGCACTTTTTTGCTCTGGTAAGGCATGAAACCTTTAAGTATTGAATGAAGGTTGTGATTATAAACACAAGAGGTGCAAAGGATTAGGGATTCTCAAGACACTGCTGTTACTCTGAAAACCGCTGTATTTATATTATTTCCTTCACTGCCATAGACGGTGTCCCACAGTCTGTAAGCTTGTAATCTTTCTGCAGTAATGAAGCTAGCCCTGGCTTTGAGCTCCGAGTTGAGCTGTATAGCTGCTGCTCAGAGGATGACTACTCTGCAGGAAGCACGCCCAGGAAACTGGCCAGCAAGCTGAGCTCTTCGCTGGGCCGCTCAGCAGGAAAGAAGTTCAGAGCTGCAATGGAGCCTGGAGCATGTAGTCCTGTTAGTAACGGAGGGGCAGCTCCTCTCCTGCTGCCTGTCCCCTCTGTGCCGTGAGTTTGGATTATCTTCCACTATGATTTAATTCCTGTGTTTTGCTATTTATTACATTAAAACACAGCTTGTCCCTCTTTTTTCATTGTGTATTGACAGCGGCCCGAAGTACCACCTCTTAGCTCACACCACCCTGTCACTGTCGCACGTCCAGGACAGCTTTCGCACGCATGACCTCACTATTTCAGGCAACGGTGAGTGGCAGCCTCCATCGTTCTGCGCCCTCGCCAGCTCTCTGCTCCATTTTCCAGATGGCCATCTGTCTGCTCTTTTCCTTCCCTCACTTCTCTGCGTCGCTCTTCTTCTGTTCAATCTCATCATTTCCTGTAAACACCCATCAGTCTTCTACAATCGCTACTCCAACTTGTTTTCTGACATACAGCGATCTTCAAGGTTGCCATAAATAAAGGTTCTGTTGGGGTTTTTTTGGGGGGTAGGGGGGTTACTGCTGTGTAAACCTGTAATGATGTAGGCTAACAAGGGCCCAGACCCAGTGACAGACTGGCTCTTGTATTTTATTTATTGGCCCCTCAGCTTGTTGTAAAATTTCATGAGTGCATTTCATGTGAAGCCTCTGCAGCTGCCTGTCTTCTACACCCAAGTGTCTCATTCTGTGAGCGAATGCAAGGCCGGGCTCGGAGAGAGAGTTTCTCTACAAGCAAATGATGGGAGATGTTTTTGTTTAAATGTTGAATGCAGTGTTTGTGAAAATTGTGATTAGTTTTAATTCTCTTATGCTTTTATCCTGCAGAGGAATGCTCATACTGGCTGCCTCTATATGGCAGCATGTGTTGCCGCCTCGCAGCTCAGCCAAACTGTATGACCCAACAGATGATGGGTGGATGGCTGAAAGTTAAGGCAAGTTTAGATAGCTGGTGTTTGATTTAATTTAAGGTCTTTGAAGGTTTTCGCTTGCTTTGCCTGCTTTCTGTTTCTCTCTTGCTCATATTGTTCCCCTTCTTTGTGTTTTTCTTACAGCAGTGTGGAGGTGACCCTCAGACTTGGACAAAAGTGTACGCCGTTCTAAAAGCAACAAGCCTTTTTTGCTACCAACAACAGGAGGATGTGGAGGCCAATGTTGAGCCTGCTTTGACAATCGGCATCAACAAGGTGAGTAAAAGGGAGACTAGGAAAAAATATATAAAGAGGGAAAACGTTCAGTATTCTACCTCACTGAACCCATTGCATCATTTTTTTTTTTTTTTTGCAACGCCTAAAGCAAAGGCAGAAATGTTGCTAAAGGTTTTGAAGAGCTGCCAAGTAAATCCCAACACAGCCTGTAGAGTTGCTTTCCTAAAGATAAATAAGAACATAGATGCTTCCGTGGTAACTTGTATAAAAAAACAAAGGCTGTTTCCCAGTATCCGAGTTGTTACTTTAAAGAGCATAAAAGGATACTTTAGAGTTTAAGTTAATTATATAACCTTTCATAGATTAAATTAGTTTGACCTGGTGGCTGATGCTAATGCTGATCCCAGAGGATTTCTAGTTTAAAAAAATCCCAGGATAAAATTTCCAGAGCAGTTTGTGCTCAGTCTGTTTCATAAACCATTAAATTCTAATCATCATTTCATTTTTTACCTGCTTATCCAAAGGATGCATCACCTTCATCAAATATGGTTAATAATACTTTGTCAGGATCAAAGCAGCAGTCATTAGATATTTTTGTTCTGGATCCAAACCTTAATGACTTTGAGGCTCTAAAAAAATCTCACTGCTGCAGCTCATTGAGATCTTTACTGTGTGGCGTTTAGAATATACCTTCCCCAAAGCAAGGTCAGTGCAAGGCTGCAGAAGCTTCTCTCTCTTGTAGAGAAAAAAAAAATCCATTATTCAGATGGATAAATGGAACATCACCGCCATCTAGTGGTCAGAAGCGCACACTCTGCAGACTAAGGGAGTGGGAATTGGGAATTGCCCTTTTTGTTTGATAATTACTGAAGGGACTAATTGCTAGCTTTATTAATGAGGGCTTGATTTCAGCGGGAGACTTAGATTTACAACTGCTGTAATGAACAGCTGCTGCAATGAGTAATTTGGTTTAATCAGAGCAGAAGCACTGGTGTTTTATTCCCAACTGGGGGCATTTAGTGCTGGACTGATTCAAGAGCTCTTTGGTTTCAGGAGACCAGAATACGCGCATCAGAGAGGGACCCTCACAGCAAGGGTCAGAACATTTGCATCAGCAACCGATACGGAGGGGAGGAGGTCACGCACACTCTGAACACGGAGAGCCGAGAGGACACGCACCGCTGGATGGAAGCCTTCTGGCAGCACTTCTATGATATGAGTTAGTAAATGTTTTACTTCGCCAGAGATCATCTGAAGTGCATCGAAGGAAGTGTTTTTAAATTCCCTCTTGTCTTTTTGTTTGTTTTTGCGTTTTTTCCCTCTAAACAGGCCAATGGAAGCAGTGCTGTGATGATTTAATGAAAATTGAACTTCCCTCTCCAAGGAAACCAGCTCCAGTTACTCCAAAACAGGGCTCACTTTATCATGAAATGGGTACGTCTTTTACATGTCTTGTGCATTTCAATTTGAAACTGATTTCAGAAAAACAAAATGAAACAGGGAGAAAAGGGAGCTTACTTTACCTGCACTGCATGTGGCTGTTTGTATTCTTACTCTGCTGGGTGGATGTGCATGAAACACACGGCCATTATCTCTAACTGCAGTAGCTCTAACTTACTCTTTGCTTTACTTCTCTGTTCTGTAGATTGAGGAGCTCGTATCTCTGATGTTCTGACTCAATCTCTGTCTTCTGTTTGTTCCTCCATTCCCCGTCTTCTCTGATCTGCTGATTTATACTATTCTTTTCTTTTTTTCAAATTTGTTTTAATCCATCCCTTTTCCATCAAATTAAATTGTACATTTTCATTTAATCATCACATCTCAATTCAATTTATTTTGTTTTTCCTCTCTTGTCTGAGCTTTAAATTACCCCTTGTTTATTTTTCTATTTTTTTTTTTTATCCAAACTGTCCTCCCACTTTTTAAAACTTGAATTTCATCTGTCACACTTCTCCTCTCCGCTCCTTCTGTCTTACCCACCCTGCTCATGGTTTTCCTAACCCCTCCTGGCAGCCTCTCTTTCCACGCCCTCGGGTGAGGGTCTTCTGCTGCAGGATAACGCTGTGTCTGCTGAGATTCGCGCTCTGCTCTCGTCCTATTACAATGACAGGTGAAGTAGCAGCTGTAGGGATTTGCTTTAAATGTATTGGAGTTTTCAAAAGGCTACAATGAGACCTGGAATCGACCAAATGTTCTGACTGATCAAGTCTTTCACTCCACTTTACTTACTTATTTCCTACTAGAATAATATATAAGATTACATTATTTGCTCTATAGATGCAATATGGAGAAAAATATTAATAGAGCACAAAGTGCAGTATTTCTACACAACTTTATAGAAGGATTAAAATATTCTCCATGACGTTACATTATTAAAAATGAAATCCAAAAAATTCTCTTTGTTCTGTAAAACAAACAAAAATAAAGTCTTTACACTTTTGGACCAGTTTCTTAAACTGCTTTTAATTTAAGTTAACATATTGGTTGAAAATGACCCGACATCGACATGGCCTGTATCGATATGTTCCTATGCACTGTTAACAACATCAATCGAATATGTTAATACATTTTTTTTTTCCCCTTGTTTTTCTTTACATTTAATATGTTCCGATGGAAAATAGTCCATCAGAATGTAATTGAAGCTCATAAATGTAGCTTATCTACTAGAATCAGATATTTTCAACTAAAAACTGAAAAATAAGCTTTAGAAACTTGGATCACTGTACATTAATATGTTGCTCATTAGGGACAAATAGATGGGGGAATAAAAAAGAAAAGATGGTGAATAATATGGATGCTGAAGCCCTCAGTAAACAAGCAGGGATAGATTTAGTAGAGTAGGTTAAACCATCAGACTCTGCATCCGCCTAAAAACTCAGTCCCCTCAGTGTTGCAAGGTGGTGGCAGCATAGTGATGTAGGATTTTGAACTAGAGTGAAAACGTGTAAAATTTACCTTCTACCATCTCAATAAATGTTCCTTCCATTCTGCAGTTATTGAATCATCAGATGACCTGGGCAGCACCGTGTCTGACATTTTGGCCCGGAGGATGCAAGAGCTGGAGCTCCGAAGCCAGCTGGGCATGTCTCCCACCTGGATGCCTGTGTTTGAGGAAAACTGTCCAAAAAGCACCGGCTTCCCTGTCCGTCCATGCAGCTCACGCCTGTCTGGCCACAGCCCTCACTCCCCTCATCGTCACCCTTCCAGGAGTCCAGTCAGCCCTCACCGCTGCCCGCAGCTGGGCCTGCTCTCCTCTGACGCAAGTCTGACGTCGGACACTGACAGCCACTGCAGCACCAGTCCGTGCTCTCACCGCCACGGCTGGCCAGAGCCTCCCTCCAATTTCTCGCTTTTGTCCTCCTCACCATCCCGTCTGAGGCCGCGCACACTCTCATTAGACGCTAAGCTCAGCACTCTCCGAGGCCGGGGGTATGGAGGCGGGGGGACCTTCCAGTGCTCCTGCCAGCCTCCGTCCTCGTCGCTGCTCACTCCTCTCCCCGCCTCGTCTCGCTCGCCTCTGTCGCAGCGCAGCACACAGACAACACTCTCCTGCTCCAGCTCCACTTCCAGCAACAGCTCCAGCAACAGCGAAGGCAGCCACAGCCCTGAATCATCAGAGGGGGGTCCTTTCTCCAGGCCCTCTCCTGCTCGACGCAGCCTGCGAAACCTACGTGCCCGGCTTGATCCTCGTAACTGGCTACAGAGTCAGGTGTGAACTTGTGTCTGGATAGATGTTTTTGTTTGCTTAAAAATAACAGTTAATCAAACTGTGAATTAACAGGTTTAACAATTGAACTAAACTCAAGGATGTGCACAGCTGCCTTTTACAGGAAGGGATAGCTGGGAGAAGACCTGCGTGGGTCGAAAATTACTTTACCCAGAGGAAGGTGACAATCAGTGCAGGAAGTCCAGGGTTCCCACAGCTCATAGGATGGGAGATGCTGTGTTTCCTTTAGAAGTCATGATGCTGCTTCAGAGAAAGTAGATAAAAGCTAAAGGTTTGGTTAACTAAGCTCCACGCTGTTCAACTTCTTAACTCTTTAATGTGATTTTTTGAAACTGGAAAGTATTTATCCCCTTCCATCGCCCTTTCCATCCACTGAAATATCATTTCAAGTGCATCTCGCCAGTCGTGTTTTAACTGAATGTAATTAATGGTGTTATAAAATTATAAAGCATTTATACTGTAGAGATGGGGCAAAGGGGCACCTCATGTATTTATCCATTTATAACTGATACACATGGTGAAACACGGTGGTGGCAGCATCATGGTGTGGGGACAGAGAAGTTGGACTTGATTTGAAGATGGATAAAGCTAAATAGAAGACTTACTTCAGGTTTAGCATGAAAAGTGCCGGACCATCATCATGGACTACAGGGATGTAAGATTTCAAACCACATACCAGGCTTGTGCCAATTGATATTTATTATACGGTGATTCTGCTAAATGGGTTAAGAGGTTAATGCTTGTTTTTATGCTATGCAGCATTTTGTTAACCAGTTAGATGTTAAACCATCTCTGGTTATACTTAAGTGATTCTGGGGTAAGTTTAGCACAATTAACACATATTTATTGTACTGGGTCAGATGTGATGTTTTTTTGGATTAAAGACTCCTCTGGACATGACCTATTCAAACAGTTTAATCAGCACAACACTGGAGGGGGGGCATCAGAACCTCATGGTATCAGTTAAAGTAAAGTATTAATTAAAACACAAGCCATAACCGATAGGCCTAATGCACTGACAGTGTCGTGTGCTTTCAGTGTAGTGATCCCTCCCTTTGAGCCTGTGGTTCAAAGCCAAAATAAGCCATGGCATGATACTATAGAGCATGTACATTAAGATGTTTATTTATTCATTGGGTTCATTTTAGGAGAGGTTTTTGTTTAAATCTGCTCAGAACGGCAGATATTTCATAATATCTCCAGTTGCCATCAGTTGTGACTGTTGGTTTAGGAAAGTGGTTTCAACCCATGTCAAATCAACCATATTCACTGAGATCATTCAAACAAGCATTTGTTACTGTAAATTATTATTTTTTTAAGTTAACAAGATAAACCTCAGTCTATTATTTTGTTACATAACTGATTCTGTAAATGCCGCTGTACAGATATGTGATTTTCAGAAGGTTAACAGATAATGTGCAAATCTTTGTTAATAGTGAATAACACTGTTAGTTTTTTTTTTTTTTTTTCAGTTCTGTGTACTGCGTGCACATTATCTTTGAAAAGGTTGGATATATAATAAGAGTGGAAGTGTCATGTTTAAATAATATAACATTAATTAAAATAAATGTTTATAGTTTTAAACCATCCCTTAGCTTTTCTCATCTGTTTTTTGTCATTTATTAATGCATAAACATGGTAGTGGCAGCATCATGCTGTGGGGGTGCTTTTCTTGAGCATTGACGAGAACTGGTCGGCATTGATTGAAAGATGGATGGAAAGAAATGGGGACTGTAAGACTTGGGAATGAGGCAGTTTCACCTTTCTGCTGGACAATAAACCTGAACATATAGCATCTATATTTATCCTTTTTTTACACAGATGCAGCGTCATGATAGAGGCTGCAGTGAAGGAACCTGGTTGAAGGCAAAATAATACAGAAAAATCTAACAAGAAAACTTGGTAAACACTGAAAAATACTTATTTCCCAGTGTTACCATGCAGTCAGGAAACGTGGAATTTATTAATATTTTACAGATCTCTATAAATAAATAAAAAACAGCAATGTTATTCATCAAGCTTTCCATCTTGAGTTTTATCTGTTTGACAGTCCATTCATTTATCCCCCACAGCTTTCCACTCATCCATTCATTTACATCAATTAGTCAAAAAAGGGACTGGAAATGGATTCTGGGAAAGAAAAATTAACAAGAAAAATGTGCATGCACCCTGACCTTCCCACACAGCAACATTAACACAGATTACTCAGATCAAATCCTTTTGAGTTAGGAATAGTTCAGCAGCTATAACTAAATCGTTTTTTTTCTCTAACCAATCTAACCTTTACTTACTTTGAAAAGAATGAAGAAAGTGTCTCAATATGTGCAAAGTTGGAAAAGACATGCACCAAAGTCCTTGCAGCTGAATTTATAATAAATGTCTTTTTTAAAACTTTTTTATCATGCTATTTGGATCTAGCACAGGGGTCTGCAGCTGCAGACCCACAACTGGCTCTTTGGAGCCTCTGCAAAGGCTCTTAATGATCACTGGAAATGATAAAAGAACCAACCAATGGTTTTATTATGTATTAATAAATACCATTTTCTGAAGCTTTAGCAGGTTTTAAAAGAACATTTGGATTTGATTTTCTTTAGAGAATGACAATAAAAAAATGAAATTTTAGATCTATATTACTTTTCAGTTTGGAAACTATATTTCTCTATACTGTATAAAAGAAAATCCTGCTTTCTTTTTAAGAAATCTTCATTTTTTTAAATTTTCCTACATTTTGAAATGACTGATAATTTTTTTTTTTTTTTTACTAGAGCTGGCATTAAACATTCTGAAAAATATATATACATAAAATCTGTCATTTGAAACAGACATTTCTATACAATGTATGACAAAATAATTGCATGAATTATTTAAGAACATAAATATCACCCTAATGATATAGAGGTCTAAAAATCTATTTAATAAACTTGGTGGTAAAGGATTTAAAGCTAAAAAAAATTGTGAGTTGTTATAGCAGATATTCAACAAAAATAAGTCATGACTAGTTAATGTAATATTTCTGCTCTAAATTACTTAAATTTAGCTGAGCTCAGGGTAAAACTGCTCTTTAGATTTAAAAGGTTGCTGATCTAGCATATAAAATTGCAACAAAACACACTCACCTTTGAGGCAGTAATATGAGAAATGTGTTGTGAGGTTTATGCATCCGAGTATCTTAAGTTAGTACAATCTTTAAAAGTAAGCAGTAAAAATGTGTCTGTAGTCATATTAATCTTCCTTATATATTTTCTGGAAATATGAAAACTTTCCACTGAGAGAATTAGTGCTTTCAGCACTTCATCAATCTATGCTATCCGTTTGCTTTCATTTCTCTTCCTTTCATTAATTTCTACAGGAGATGCGTGCTTCTATAAACAACAAGAAGATGTGCTTCCATTCACGAGCTGCGATAGAAGAATAGGAAAATGTCAGGCCGAGCAAAGACTTTATTGTCAGGGATTTCCTAGCAAAGCCATAGATTAATAATCAACAGTACCAAGCACGATTACAAACGTAGGAGGTAGTCACTGCTGGGTCTTCACTGCGGACTGCATAGAGAAAAGTATGGCCATGCTGACTGAAATGCCGCAGACAAGAACCCAAAACTCCCTGTTGTCTGATTGTAGTGCACTGTTGTACTATTATTGTGCCATAATAAGTTTACATCCGCATAAAATATTAAAAAACATTTAAAATCATACCAACACTGACATTCACATATACATCAATACATTAAATAGTAAACTGTGTAATACTTTTACTTCTTGACTCAAGTGAGACAGTTTATAATGAGTTTGGCAATTATAAGTTCTGTTGATTTTTTTTTTTCTCTTAAATATTTGTAGGTCCATAATGAAGCATATTTCTTTGTGAACTTGTGCTTCCTCCTGCTTCGGGGATCCGCTCGTATTAGCAGGCACAGCGAGGGTTGGACGCCCGCAAAGCCAGCCCAGCCAGAGTTCTCCAGGCAAACGTGGAGAACTTCGCAGGACACGTGTCGGCTCTGCTGATGTACGTGGACGCGATCCGATGGAGCCGTTTGGCTCCAAAAGTGTTGTAGTGTCCTGGGAGGACTTGGTCAACCTGTGGGATGTAAAAAAAAAAATTAAACTATACCCAATAAATGGCCCAAATAATCTGAATTAAAAGTTAAAGAAGCAGTCAAGCCCCCCAAATGTAGATGTTTACAAAAACGTTTCAGTGTTACCTGCTCGCTGTCCACCAATCCGATGAGACGCTCACAGCTGCTGATGTAGTCGCTGACCTGACTGTAGGGCAGCCAGTCAATCATGGCGCCATCATACACAGCGTCTCCGCTGAACAGCAGCTTATTGTCACGATCGTGGAGGCAGATGCTGCCCCGTGAGTGACCCGGCATGTGAAGCACAGTCAGCTGTCTGTTACCAAGGTTAATGACATCACCTGGACAGGAGAAAGGGGAGGGAGATGCTTGAGTTAATGACACAAAAAACTGGACCTAAAACTAGAAGCTCTGTGCAAAATAGCTCTTATCCTGCGCAGAGTCTAGAGCTTTCTGTTTGGCATCTAATTTTACCCAAACCAAGTATGAATTGCACAGAATGACAAAGGGTGAGGCTGGCATGCCATGCAATAAGATATACCAACTGCACTGCACCAAGTGGTGCTGACACAGCATTAATACACCATAAAATACACAATGAAAGAACACCAGGAATGAAATGTTATACCCAAGCTATGACAGGTAACCTTCAAGAAGCTATTAATAGGGAACCCCAATGGCACTGATACTGAACAAGTCTAGGGGTGTAACAGTATGCCTGTTTGTGCAGAACATTACAGAGGTTTATTATGTTTAACACGTGCATATGTTTGACATCTACACCTTAGATCCTAACTAAGAGATGCTGCAACAAGGTGGACCAGAATACCAGAATCAAGGAAGGGGAGCCAGTTTCTGCATCCTTTCTTGAAAGCACCATCAAAACCATCAGCACCTGAGCTATAAATAGAACAGGTGTATAGATAAAAGTGGCAGCTAGAAATTAAAATTGAATTCCCTTTATTTATCTGCCTGGGAGGCTCCTACGTCTGATTGAACAAAGACTGGTCTATTAATGATCACATAATTTAAAACAAGGAGTTTAGATAAATCAGATTAACATTACTCTATTTACTTAATAATCCAATTCTTTAAAAATGCGTGTTATAAATGCACATTTGGAGCGGTAGTTTATGTCTATACAGGTATTTTGCAGGTGTGCATATGGATAAATGTGTCAGTCCAGTGTTGGATCTCTGCCAGTCTCACGCTGACTCAGTAGGCTTGGAGCCCATGCTCCCTGCATGCAGCATCCCAGGTGTTTGGTCTCAGATATGCACCACCCCCACCCCCCCATCGTGAGGATTAGCATCCCCTACCCACCCTCCTGCAGGATATGCGTGGGCTGCACAGCCTTGACTTTGTAGTGTCTCGCCCTCCATCCCGGACTGGGAGCCACGGTTATCTCCCTGTCGCTAAGCCAGGTGACCGTCTCGAAGTTGTCCCCGTTAGCCAGGGCATCGACCTCCGCGCTGTGGACGCCCACCTGTTGGAACTGATGCAGACCACCCGAGTGGTCGAAGTGGGCGTGGGTGGCGACCGCCAGAAGCGGGTTCTTCCTCTGCGGGTCTTTCCCGAGCAGCCCGTTGGCATCGATGTAGTCAGGTAGGCTCCTCAAGCCCAGACCCGTGTCTATGACCACGTCCTGGTGGGTACCGCGGAGGAGCCAGATGTTGGCCCGATTATCCGACTGGTAGAATCGCTCCTGAATCCAGAAGAGCCCGTCTCCGAGCGACTTGTGGGCGTACCAGTCGGCTGCAGACATCCCCAGTCATGCAGTTTTCCAGGTTAGCTTCTGCGGGTGTTGTGCTGTCAGGGGATTTTAGCGGTGAGCTGTTAGCAGCCTTGTAGCTGGAGCTGATATGTTTTCATTTAGCCAAATGTGACGGTAGCTGCTGACACTACGGCTGACACACCCTTGTACGAAAAGAGCTTCCCCATTGGTCAGATATACAAATGACGCAGTGCTCTATCTGGATGATGATTGGATGCATTTAAACCCCGCCTTACATTGAGTCCCACATTTAAAGCGACATTTACGCACGCTGCCATAGTGATGGGAATTCCGACTCTTTTCAGTGATCCTAATCATAAGGCGCTGAATTTGTCTAGTTCTAATACTATTGTTCACTAAATTCCGTCTCTAATGTTATTAAACCTCTTCATATTGCATTTTCCCGATTTATATTCTTATAAACTACATCTCCTTAGAGACTGAAATATAAAAAAATAGTAAAATGTTTGAAATTTAGCTAACAAATACTGTTTATTAAAAGACTCATAACTTCATACCTTTTATTGTTACTCCTTGAGGAAAATGGATAAACGAAGAACAAATTTGTTAAAAAAAACAATATAAAACAACAGCTTTTTAGTTTTGACTGTGAAGTAAGAGTCTGGACCACTGGTGTCAAGCAGGTTCCAGAAAGGACCAGGACTGTTTGGCTGCTGGTTTTCTTTCCAACCTAGCAGTAGCACACCAGATTAACCTGAAGCCTGAACTCGCTTCATGAGATGAATGGAGTGGAGTCTATCGTATTATTGACCCTCTCTGAATCAAGTACACAATAAAGCAAGACGCATCATATCGTTCGAATTAAAGAGTCAGCTGAACGGGACGGCTCATTCACGACCGACACGTCGGTGTTTCATATTTTTTCTGTAGTTTGCACATTGTACACACGTTGCCACGCCGGTACAAGAAAAGTCATATCTATTTTATTAAGAATTGACATTTCTTTCATTATTTTTTCAATATTAATTTAATTTTAAAAATAAATTAAACTGGACTGAAAACGTGGAGGAGACTCAGCAGCACATAAATGCTGCTGTCTGTCGGTGACACAAACATCTAGTTTGTAAATCTATACAAAAGGAGTTCTCCAATAGTAAGTATAAAAACCGAACGCCTTCCTCTGATGTTTTATGCTGACTAATGCTGCACCGATGGTGAAATCACTGAGTTGTGTGAACACGTGTTTGGGAGAGAAGTTGACTGGTAGCATGTGTTGCAGGTACAGGACAGCAGCCTGCAGCCATGGCAGGCAAGGGTCGTGGGATGGCTGCCTTTACCTTCAACATAGAGGCCCTGGGCATCGGCAGAGGAAGCATGCCAGAGGCCAGGGTGGGGCCCAGCCCGCTCTATCCAGTAAGTCCCACTGGGGAAATACATGGAGGCCAGGAAAACCTCTCAGGTTTAATTTAGGAATAAACAAAGTGCATGAACCAGTGGTTATACTAAAGATAAACCATTCCCAGACATCCCAAGTTCCAAAAACTACTCAACAGTTAATAAACAACTGTTTATGAACTAACAGTAATTCCTTAAACACAAAACAGACAATATTGGTCTTTTATTTTTAATTTTTAATACTTTAAATCTTTTGGCCTTGAACATCAGTTGTGCTTTCTGTTTGTCTTGGGACTTCAGCATACGTCATTCCTCACCATGGCCGGTTCTAGACAGGGGCCAACGGGGGCCAGAAATTCTAATGATGAGCTGCGCTGGAACAGACATGGTTACTGACAGGTCCTTTGGAAGCACTTCATTCTTTTTCTTTACAAATTCTGTTTTACTAATTATTCAAAAACAATAAGGTGATAACTTCAGTGGTGCTCAGATAGGGTCCCAGTTTCCATCCGCTAAATGTTTTTTTTTTCCACAACAAATAAAAAATCCCCTTATTCTTATAGATGAATTTAACAGTTTTTCTCATAAGAAATAGAATTTCTTCTGAAACTAATTGAATAGAAATTTCCCTTCATGCAGCTCTCTTAGTATATTTGAATTCCTTGCCCTGTTTTTTATTTCATGCTTTTCTGTGCCCCCATGAAAACACGCTGGCCCCCTCCTTGCCCCCTGTAAAACTTGGTCTAGATCCGCCACTGTTCCTCCCCTTCACTAGAAGTGGATATACTTTAGTATATTCTGCTGTAAAATTAGTCCAATAATTTTGTTTTTTACTCGAGGATTCAACCTCTGCCATCTGACAGGAAGCACAGCTTTGAGTGGTAACTAGGTGACTGTCAGAGAGGAACCCAGAGAAACTTATTTGACTGATCCATTCAGCTGGTTGAACAGAGCATCGCTTTGGACAGACACACTGCACAGGTTTCACGAGCAACCTCCTCCCCACACCTCGCGCTCTCTTGTTGTCTGCGCAATCAAAGTAGTTCTTATCTGCACATGATGCATGAATTATTGCCTGCCCGCTCTCACTTGAATTCAAAAACACCACCTCACAGAGTGCAAAATCCGGGATAATTTATCCGACTTGCGGGCATCCGTGAACAACTATCTATATCAGGGAGTCTCCCGGAAGTTCCGGGAGACTTGGGATGTCTGCATTCCAATACTCTGATCCACCGCTGTGGTGGCTCTGTTTAAAGACGCCTATCCATATAACATACAAACTAGGATGTAGGACTCATATCTACCTTCACACCTTACAATAATGGCGGACTACAGAGTTTGCTAAGGTTGTGTTTTAGAAGTTATTAAATTTTTTGTAAATTTTACACAAACGCAGTTTTCTCTTGTCGTCGGTCCATTCAAACACATCTTTTTCTCCCTCCTGGATTTGTTGTATTTGTCCTTTTATTCATCTTATTTACTGCCTTAGCATCCTTTTTTCTAATTTTTTGAAACAATCCAACTAGATGAATGATTTGAGCTTTAACATCTAAAACATTTGACAGAGTCATTCATTAGAGTGAAACCAATGTATTTTGCCTCCAGAGCACTGACTTTAAACCAGTTCCACTGAAAGTCGGTGAAGATGAAGACTACATGCTGGCCCTGAAGCAGGAAATGAGAGGGACGATGCAACGGCTGCCTCACAACATCAAACTTCAGTCCAACAAAGCAGGTGAGGAGCAGAGTGCTCCATTAGAAACCGGACGTCTCTGATCATTTCTATGGAAATACCATTTAAGCTGCTGCCAGGGAAGCTAATGCAGCTTTTAAGGCTCTAGATACTTAATATGAGTCATATCAAGGAAAAGGGAAAGTCCATAATTCTGGTACTATTGAGTTATAGGTGCTGTCTCATCTTAACCTGATTTATTTGGTCCATCATTACAAGCATTTCACAGTTACCGTTCAGAGCAAGAATATCCATAGTAAGCAGCTGAGCAGGTCATGTTGTTTTTCTAAATGCTCATGAAGCTACAGAGCATCCTGAATACATTCCCAGGACCTCACTTCTTAACATTATCAGGTGATAATAACACAACATTAATTAAGCAAATATCTAAAACAATGAATTCAATTGTGGATTAGTATTCACAGCCTTTAAAAGGCAACTCAAACTGAATCTAGAGCAGAACCTTGAAGAAGGACAATCTTCTCTGCAGCAATGCACCATTGAGGCCTGCATGGCAGAGGGGCCATATAGAGGCCACTGCTTAGTAAAAGGGACACGGCATGACTTAATTCTCATTTAAATCTTTGGAGAGATCAAGAAATAAGTCTGATATCATTTTCCTTCCAACTCGATGGAGCTTGAAATGTTCTGCAAAAAGAAATGGCAGAAACTGCCTAAAGAAAAATGAACCATATTTAAATGGCTCCATGCTTAAGAGGATATGAGACTGTTATTGCTGCCAGTGCTGCAACAATAAATGTGGAAAAAGTGAAACGCTATGAATGCTTACATGGTTCACTGCATGTAGAAATTACAAATGAATCGCTAGGAAGTTATGTTGGTTACGATTTTTAATTATCGGCCTAATATCATAAATTAAATTGACTTACTGCTGTGGCTAAGGATCAGTAATTATGTTAAATAAACAAAAAAGGTTGCTGTTTTCTATCACTTATCAGATGTGGAGAAATACTCTGAGAGATACCTAAAGCAGAGCCAGTCGGAACATGAGGGATGGACTCCAGGTATCTGGGTAATAATACCGCACACCATTAGAGCAGTTTAAATAAAAAAGAAAGCTTATGCATTTATCCTTCCTGGTACTACAGACTGGAACCTTTTTCCAAAAGAACTGATGCCCCGAGTTAAAAAACCTCGAACTAAAGGTATGTTTAAGCCATCATTTGTGTTACAGCTATGACTGTGCGGTTATAAGGTGGATTTGTTTTTTTACTCCTACAGGCGCAAAGAATAAGAAGAATGTGAAAAGTTCAGGCAAGGAGGCGGCGGACGTTTTAAGCAAATTAGACGTAAGCCACTTCTCTTCCTATGTTGCCCTTATGAGCACTTTCTGGTTTAATAGTTTTTTTGCTGGTGCTAACTTTGTGCAGTAATTCAAACGAATGTAAAGTTTGATCCATTTATGTTTTTTCACTGATTCAGACCAATTCTTTGACATTAATTCAAATAAAATCAATCTCCATGCAATTAAGTTTAATGTATCCTATGTCAGGCCAAACTACGGTGAGTCCTGGCTTTATTTACAGGGTAAAACCAGTTTAAGGGTAAGAAATCATTTACTTTGCTAAATGTTTTTAAAACTGTCACATTATAACCTCACTATAATCCATATTAAACTGCTGAAAGTGGTGTATGAAGTAGGAGTGGAGAGATGGGAAACATGGCTTCTCCTTCTCTCTGAAGTGTCACTGACTCTATAGCAAGTTCCCTTCCAGGATTCACCAGTTTGTTACCAAACCGAACTGTGGATTTAACCCTGGTTAGAAAAGCTTTTCCCCCCAGCATGCTAATGCCACCACCATGTTTCACCATAAGGATGGTGCTTGAGGGGAAAGTATTGATAGATGTTAAACATTTAGATTTAATCTGAACAGAGTAAATTGTTCCTTGTGATGTTTTTTCCCCTCTTAGGTTTATATTAAACAGCAAATCAGACTTCTTTTGGCTTTTCTTGCATAAAGGCCAGATTAGTGGATAATGAGCTGTGTAACTCTGCAGCTCCTCCAGTTACCACTTCCAGTTCTTCTCTGCTCCTTTCCTAGCATGTCAGAGGAAGTAAAGTCTATGTAGGTTAACAGATATATGGTTTCCATTTTTAATACATTTATTCTCAATGTTGGACTAAAGTTTAAAGGCACAGTCTGTTTATTTTGAAATTATACTGTGTGCTAAACCTCTAAGTCTTTTACACGACAGCTGTCTTTATATTTTAAATACTCAAGTGGAATGTATTAATTGAAGACAATTTGGCGCACAGGATTTTATTTTAGGGTGTTTTATCCAATATGCACATCATACTTAATGTTTTTAAGTATTCTAAACTGCTTTTAGTTAAAATATTTAAAAAGTTAAATATTATGCACCGTGTATTTATCTGATGCTTAAAAGTCCTAAAAAATAATTAGCAGTTTGCAATTGTGCAAAAAAAAAAAAAAAAGGTATATTTTGCAATGAACTCCAGAGGAATCTATAGGTATTTTATTCAAATCCATCCAATTACTTTCATGATCTTTACAGATTTGCATAAAAAATATATTTTGTAGTCTCAGACATTGTGTTGAATTGTCAGGAACTGGAGAAGAAAGATGACGGAAATGCTGAAAAGTCAGACGATGAAGAAAAGAAAACCACAAACGAGGATGAAGAAGAAATAGAGGAGGAAGAGTACGAGGAGGAAGACGTTGAAGAGGTAAATGAAGAACACGTTTAAAGATATGCTTAGTACAAATATGTTGAAAATAAACATTGAACTTTGTTTTCCTGTGCAGGACAATGACTACATTGAGAGTTATTTTGACAACGGAGAAGATTTTGGGGCCGACAGTGACGACAATATGGATGGTGAAGCTACATATTGAAACAGCAGGACTCCAACTGGAACATAGTGGCTATGAGTTAAATGTTTCATATTAATGCATTATTTTCTAGATTTTCTTTGAACATCACTGTAAATAAGAATGACTTAAAATCAACAGAAGAATGTATTGAAAATATATTTATTTATTCTCCACGCTGGACCACAGTTTAAAGGCACATACTGTCAATTATGCTTTGCTAAAGAAAATCCAAGTAACACTGATTGAATAAAAGGGCTATGCAAAAAGATTTTAAATGTTTCATCAAACTCTTACTTTCAATGGGAATAACAGGGTGGTTCATTATAGCTATCTAAAAGAGTCAGTCATCAAATACTGATAGTGTAAAAAAAAAAAAAGACTGCTCACTTTTCACAATAAATTAATTCTAATTAGCAGTCTAGCATTTCAAATAACATTAAGTGGTTTAGCTCCAGCTCAGATTTGGACAAAACTAAATAAAAATGCTGCAGAAAATCCACAACTAATATTTGAGGACACAGCTTTTATAAATGAGTTCATTTCGTAGATACATATTCCTCCACAGCTTGTTTAAAGTGCATCAATATAAATGAACAAATCCTGCCGTCTACACTGGGTACAGGGACTCAGCTGGCATTAAAATGTGAGGTTTATTATCTTCCAGCCCTTATAGCTCTCAATTTAAAAATCATAAATGGACAGACTGACATTACTGCAATACTACCCGTTTGCCAGCCTTTACTATTTTCAATCCGTCTCAGACTAACATTTCATTAAGATAAGGCTATTTGAAATTAGGAAAAGGAGTTTAATAAATTGACTTTATTACATGTGGGAATTAAATCCTACGTTTTCTTAAGCACTGGATCATTGGCAGCAGCTGCGTTTTCTCCGGGTTCTCTCTGTAGGTTTGCTTTGTCCTCAGGTTTAGGTGCCTCTGCAGGCCGGCCGTTCTCTTCAGGAACGTTCAACATTTTACCTTTCATCTGTTCAGCGTGCTTATCTCCGTTAGTCGGGACGGTGACCGTATGTACAGCGGCACCATCCTTGTGTTTTGCGACAACCTCATAGTAGAGCAGATAAAACACAGGTGTGACGACCCCAACAAACAGCATGATGGCAACAGCAGTCCACCATCTCATGCCCCAGTCGGCTCCATAGTAGGGGTCCTTTCTCTGAGCTTTTTTACGCTCTACTTCTCCCAGCAGTGGCTGCTGCTGCGTCAAGGATGAGACTACCTCACTGAGGCTGCTCCGAGATGGTCCTGTGGATTTCACCAGCTGCTCGATGTCCTTGTCCTTCTCTAGAAGGAATCCTTCGACGCTGTCGGCAGAAGAACAAGAGTCTGTGGAGGACTCTGTGGGGAGAGGCAGGGCGGCCGATGTCTGGGGCAGCTGTCTGGCCCCAGAGGGTGAGGCAGACTTAGAAGGACCAACGATGTGAGTCTCTGTGAGGACACTGAAGCGCCTCACAGGGATCTTAATCAAACGTAGAGCGAAGAAGTCCTGTTCTGTCAAGAGGCTGTTGGCTCGTTTAATATCGGCCACCTGCAAAATAAAACAATCATTTAATCTGATTAGCCTAAAATCTAAGGCAACCCTTCAATCATAAATACATCGTACTTTATTCTTTCTTAACCCCTTGAACCCTACGGACCCACCGGCGGG